TTCAAAAGCTTGGAACATGCTAAAACCTTTCAGGTAGTGGAGCAAGCTATCTGTTCTCTGTAGAGGTGAGTGCCATTTCTGAATATCAGTTTTTGTAGAAAACATTTTAAATACTACAAAATATGTAACAGTTATTAACGTATTTTTTCCTCTATGCCTAACTATAAATCACCAGCAACTGGACCTTAAATTCTAATCTAGATACATCATTATCCCTGCAGTGGGTATGCAATAATTCTATCCTACATACAAATAACTGGTTTTATCTAGTCAACATTAAACTTGTGAAAAGGAATTAATAACAAATCAGATAAATATTCTTTAAAATGTGTGTTTTATTATAGCTGTTATTTTCTAAGTAAGAAGTCTCATAACTAAATCTCAACATTAACAATACATTTTTCAAGCATCTATAACTGAAATATTAATCATCATATAGAAAACCCCCTTTGGTTTAAAACATGCCCTTTTAACACATTTTATTAGGCTTCTAAATTTAAATGTGCCATTACATTTCTGTTAACATTCAAGAAAAACATTCGTTTACACAAAAACTTTATTATAAATCAAATCAGGTTTAGTAATTAACTAACATGTCACTTCCAACATTTAATTACTCTTTCCACTGCCGAGGATGCACGTGTGTGTGCTTTTAGCATTTGTTTGTGAGTGCTCACAATGTATGCATTTCCACAACTATTTGATATTCCTGACCACTATTTAAAATGCACACTAATGATAGCACACTGTGTGACTGTGAACAATAAATATAGGTGTCGTACTTCATATTTCAATGTGTGTATATTGACAGGCAAGATAAAAAACTATTGTATTTTTCCTTGCATGAGAGGAACCATAAGGTTGTATTCATATATCACACATGACTCTGCCAAAATCCTTTTATTTGTATAATCAATATTCTGGGAATAAAACGACACTGTATGATCAATAAAGGAGATTCTATCACCTTTATCGCAAATAAATCACCAAAAGTTAAAGATGTCGAACATTTGCCAATAAAGTGAAAAATTGGTCAAAGTGGTAAAACAATGAGGAAAAAGTGCTGATTATGGCAGTAAAAAGGAAAGATTCAATTTATAACTATGATGTGTGTCCAGAATCACCTGGACTTTGTTTACATCCATCAACTATGATGTGTGTTCAGAATCACCTGGACTTTGTTTGGATCCATCAACTATGATACATATCCAGAATTACCTGGACTTTGTTTGGATCCATCAACTATGATACGTATCCATAATCACCTGGACTTTGTTTGGATCCATCAACTATGATGAGTGTCCAGAATCACCTGGACTTTGTTTGGACCCATCAACTATGATGTGTGTCCAGAATCACCTGGACTTTGTTTGGATCCATCAACTATGATGTGTGTCCAGAATCACCTGGACTTTGTTTGGACCCATCAACTATGATGTGTCTCCAGAATCACCTGGACTTTGTTTGGACCCATCAACTATGATGTGTCTCCAGAATCACCTGGACTTTTGTTTGGACCCATCCGATATGTGTCCAGAATCACCTGGACTTTGTTTGGACCCATCAACTATGATATGTGTCCAGAATCACCTGGACTTTGTTTGGACCCATCAACTATGATGTGTGTCCAGAATCACCTAGACTTTGTTTGATCCACGTTTCAAATTTTACCACAAAAAATGTTGATGTATTCATCATATGACATGTATATCATGACAAATACATATTTCAATTGAGTAAAATGATTTTGCCACAAATTTTATCTAAATAAATTTCCAGGTGCACATGTGCACCTGATCTCCATAATTTTTGTGTGCTGCTGAGGACACACGTGCATCTTAAATAAAACATGGTATAATATTGCACTAAAACTCTTTTATCGGTCCCTACATCGCAGCAGTTAAAGTATTAATAACAAACTCGTGATCCATACCTCTTTACTCCTCTTCTGAATTCATAGAGTTTCACTCCATCTATTATACTGAAGATTCTAATTACTGTGCCCTGTAGAACAATTGTTTCCATTTAGAAATATCGTACAATCCTCAGAAAATACTGAAATCTAATAACTTGAATCTAGAATTGATATATACATAGTAATCTCATAGCAACTGTAAAACAAACAAAATATGATAATAATAGTCAGTGATAAAAATGATATATAAGCACAAAATTCCAAACAATAATTGTAAAATCAAATTACATTTATTAAAAACCATTTATTTGAACAAATTTTGAAAACAAAGATATTTTCATATAGATTACTAAGATTAAAATCTAAACCCGTTTTGATGTTCGTGTAGCATACACCATTTCTATAATACCTTTTTCATTGAAAAACACTTTAACGTAATTTTTAAATCAACTCTCGTTTTTCCTCCTAAAATAATAGTTCATTCAGAAATTATTAACACAATAATAAAATTAAACAAACTTAAATTTGGACGGTAATATGAACCTAGATTACAATAAACAGAAATAATTTATTAACCCTAAAATTAGGAGTCGATCATATAGACATTTTAGGCTGTTTTGGTCACCATAATATCCAGCAAATGATAAAAATCATTTGGTTTTCAATGATAATTTAGTATTAGAACTTTTGAACAATACATTTCTGCTCATTAGATCTCCTCTGGCGGAGAAACCTTCTTTTGAAAATGAGTTCTTCCCCTCATTTCTGGCAAAATTTTGGTGAAAGTCCACTGCCTTTTGCAAATTAATTAACCAAACTTGTTATCCTACACTGGAAGAATGTCTAAAAGTCATGTTTACTCCAGTCTCAGTTTCGAGTGCAAGGTATAATGTTTGTCCATACACTCACTATTATAAGGCGACTAATTAAATTTTGTGAAATACAGCTCACCTCGATTGTTCTATTTATACCCAGCATCTCAGACGGAAGGAATAACTAAAGAGAATTTTGTGCAGAAGAAGTTAGGATAACGATAAATTTTGTCAACAAACAACTACGCCTACTCAAAGGAATGATTACACAAGATTTCTATTAAGGTATTAAGTGTAAGTAATAATAAATACTTATGATTAAGTAAACAACAGCTAAGCTCATTGGTCTTACTTTTTCTGATGCTGTGGCAATTTTGGTTCCACAAGGGTTAAAAGTCATTGATGCTAAAGGGCTATCATGGGCTGGTATCATGATTTTAGCTTGCTGAAAAGGTGTTAAAATGTTTTACAACTAAAAATACATGATAAGGAATAAAACAACTAAAATGTTAATCTTATATCTGTAAATAATCTTGTAATTCACACAATGGTAACCTTTAATGATGTTATCTGAATGGAAACATAAACACAGTGTAATTAAGAAAATGACACACTGTCTTCTCCTACTTACATTCTTAAGATCTGTTCCATAACAGGTGCCGGGCGCTCCAATTTCGACTTTATTTTCCCGTGAAGCACTCGACAAAGAAACTCTATCTGCCTACTATTAGTTATACTGTCAATAACTTCTGCACAAATACTTGGCAAAGAAAACACGGAATACTTATTTCATTAAAAATTGAGAGATTTGTTTTTGGATGGCGTACATTTTTTGTTTTCGTAACCCTAAATTTATCAATGATAATGGTATATAAACCTCATCAGCTTTCATAAGAACAGTTTTGTTTTTTTTTACCATTCAGTACTGGTGTAGTCCACATATTGCATTATATTGTATAATTTTTGTTATTACAAGACTCGGTTTAAAAAGCTAGCCAAATACGTTGGGTGGAATCGCTCATTTCTTCTTTAAAATGCACAAGGGACAATACTAACAGTATTTCTTGTTTGACTCGTTATTGACCCACAAGCAAGTTAACAGTCAGTAATTTGAAATGCAAAATCACAATGTTAACAAAATCATAAAACATGTGGTTTTATTAATGTAATGAGATCGTATTGTGAAGAAAAACATTATAAAACATGAATTAAATGTAATGATATCAAACAATACTAACCTATACCAATACATTTTTACTTTTATGATTACGTAGCCATGACAACGCACCGTAGTCTTCTGGAGCACCATCTAGAGTGTTCTCTGGAAAATAAAATTTAAATGTCACTTTTATTAGTCTATACATAAATATACACGTATGTACAAAAACAAATTTCAACAGTTATACAACGATTAACGTCAAATGTGTCGCACGTTTCCATTACATCGTTCGAGCTTTGTGTTTACTGCAGTGAAGTGTTATTGCCTTTTACAACTAAAACATACTTAATTAATTTAGTTTTTGTTGTGGCTTGTTTTTATAATTAAAATGTATTTTCATCATAAGTTTGGTCTTGCTGTTTTTAACGCAGTCCTTCCTTTTGATGTTAATCTTTGCTTGACTGTTGAAATATAGTGTTTTTAGATATAAATAAATAAATATATATATAAAAATACAGTATCTATTTGAAATGAAAATTCAGACTCAAGCCTAAAGATCTATAAAATTAACACCAACACAGCTAAGTTACTACGTATACAAACAAACAAAGAACTGATAAAACTGGAACTTTTTAAATAAGTTTTGTATTAATAAATACCTCCAGATTAGAACACTTATATTTACTCTTTATCACATCAGTATTTTTTAGTTATTGTTTCAGGATAATTTCTGATGAGAAACTAAAACAAAATACTAGACACTCACTTTCGAACCTCTAGGTGGCATCAGTTCAGATGGAACTCCAGAAGACCTCCAGTATCATCTGTCATGACCTGAAAACACTACATTAAAATCAATGTCTTCTATCTCTACAAATGCAAGTAAGGAATTACCACTTTTAAGAAACATGGATGTTACACGATTACTCTCAGTACTCTCCGAGTCTAATTATTTCAATCTTCAGAACGGTAAAAAAAAGCATACCAAACTTAACAAAAAAGCAATCTTTGTAACTTTTAATTTTCTATACACTGCACACTACAGCATGGGTATATGTATATTTTGATGATTCACTGTTATATATTATTCTGGAAACAATGTGTATATTATTACACAGGTTCAGTGATAATTAACTAACTTTGTTACACGTCACATATTTTATTTGGGTGAAATCTGGGTTAGAATGCACATGTATAAAGATTTTAGTCTGACTATAAATATTGTATTTCACTTTTTGAGGTCAACATGTCAGAATTGGTCCAGATGAAAGAAACAGAGTGTGATGAAACTGACGTACAGAATAATTATCAAATGAGCATTGAATTATCTATAAACTGTATACACCTGGTGTACCACATTGTAAACACTGTCTCCAGTATAGCAGTTATTTGGGAAGGAAATGAATGAATTACTTAAATTATTCTATTAAAACAGTATTAAACACATGTTCAAAGGAAGTATGAGATATTACACTTGAAATATTTTATTTTCACAATGGCATCCAGCTGTTTAATGGCTAACATACACATAATTTGTATGCCTACAAAAATACAAAACATATATTTTATGCCGAAGTATACACGTCCCAATTTGTTTTTGAGACAATAGCATCTTAAAAAAAAACAACTTCAAAATAAGATCAATACTGGAGTTAATCATAATAATTACTGCTAGGGTCGAAACTGTATACATGGTCACAAAATTCCATTAACTAGTAGGATGCACCTCAGTGGCACTGCTAGGTGATCAAACATTCAGGGCTTAGGCTCATACGTACAGGAAATTTTAATGTTTCAGTATGTTACTGATTACAGTTTTCTACTCTGATTTTTCAAGACACAAGCTGGGGACTCAGAGCACAGGCTCCATGTGCCAGCACCTAGCGACACCTATGACTCACCCTAAATGTTCTACCTATGCCCAGCACCTAAACTTAGTTATTCTTACGATTAGTTTCTATTTCTCGAAATATACTTTTGGAATCGCTACTTTTAAGAAACACAAATATTAGTTTCCAAAGAAAATAAAACTAAAAGGATGTTATCACTAATATCTGAATCTTATTATACTTGCGATGTTATCACTAATATCTGAATCTTACCATACTGATGATGTTATCACTAATATCTGAATCTTACCATACTGATGATGTTATCACTAATATCTGAATCTTACCATACTGATGATGTTATCACTAATATCTGAATCTTATTATACTTGCAATGTTATCACTAATATCTGAATCTTATTATACTTGCAATGTTATCACTAATATCTGAATCTTACCATACTGATGATGTTATCACTAATATCTGAAACTTATCATACTTGCAATGTTATCACTAATATCTGAAACTTATCATACTTGCAATGTTA